AAAATGTGGTAACGAAACTTCGGGTTCCGAATTTGACACTTTTCCAAGTATGGAATTTGATCCGTGAAGATCTTCGAGAATGGTCCTATCCGGTCCATGATTAAAACTACTTGTGCATCCCTGATGTAAGTTATATTTCGTTGCATTCGCTTCTAAATATTACACAAATGGGCTTCTTTGGAGAACTGTAACATAATCTTTTCCCATAAGTGAGCCCTCTATGCGCCTAGGCTAAAGCCTGCAGGTGCCATGACAGACTGTGTATTTGTCAACGTATTTCCTGGCAGAATGGGATATTGAGGGAGCAAAATTGCCGCAAGACGCAGGCCTCACCACAGGTAAACCCTGAAGCAAAGTAGACATGCAAACACAATAATGAATTCTCCCTGTAATTAAATGTTACGACAGACTAGCAATTCGTATAAACTTGTGCTGCGGTTTAGACACCTTGGAGCAAATTTCATATTTGCTTCTTGGTGTGCTGACGAAATTTTTCTGGTTCCATAGGTTATGTACAAGTATAGCGGATAAAAAGGTAAAGCTATCCCTGTAACAGACCGTGAAGGCCCGTAGAGTTGCGAGACGACGTCGAGGCTCCCACATCTTGTACGCAACCGGCTCACAGATGGCGGTGAGGTTGTCAGCCTTACGCACCGGCTCAGTCGACCCCAGGGCCATTGTGCGGGTGGAAGTATTAGGCAATTCCAATGGAAGGTTTGCTAAATGTATATGTTACAGAGCTTCGATGGATACGTTGATTATGAGAGATTGTTTGAACAGTACGCGGAAGGAAATCATCATATTTTAGGATACTTCAGGAAAGACTTAGGTAAATCGCAAGAAACCTGAGTCAATACAGCAGGTCCACTTGCCAAGTTTTGAAAGCGGGACTGCCAGGATATGAATTAGGGGCGCTATTCACTTGCGTTCCCACACATTACAGGTCTGGGAGGCGCTGCTTGAATCCAGATGGTGTACAGCAGTGCTTCTCAACCGCCGGGCCGCGGCCCAGTAGTGGGCCCTGGCATCAATTATACTGGGCCGCGAGAGGCTCTTCTGGAATTTGTCATTTTCATTTTCTAAGCATAATTAATGAATAAATATTTTATAGTGGAAATATTCTGAGGAGAACAATATTTGTGTCGAGAAGCTCAGACACAGAACACCTAAATCTGTGTAGCAAATGTCAGTGACCAAGCCGCATATTTTAAAACATGGAAGTATTCATGAATGATCAGGAATTTTCAGACATCCAAATCTTTCAACATTCGGTAAGCGCAATACCGATGTTTATGACCAGTCATAAAAATTGCCTGCAAGCCGGTTACAACAATGGGCGGCATATCCTCTGTTCTCAGAACTGAGCGAAATAACATCTGTGTTGCAACTGTCAGTGACCAATCAGCAAGGAAGTATAAAGAAACTGTTTCCACTGAAATTGAAGATCAAGGCAGTCTGTATCCGGTTCTCAAGTCTGGTAATACTGAATACTGTTTCTTCGCAAGTTCGCAGTGCAGTGTGTAAGTGCTTGTTTCGAAACCTGAGTCAAGATGTTGTCGTTTGAAAAATATTATCCCGAACATGATCCCCTGAGGCAAAATATGTGGATTATGAACCCTTTTGTTGAACACAAAGAGACAGCCCTTTCCCATGAAGAAACCCTTCAACTTATTGAATTATCATCGGGCAAAGGACTGGAAAGTACCTTTAATACTACGGGTAATTCGAAATTCTGAACGAAAAATGAATAACCAAATTTACATGAAATATCAGTGAGATTTCTTACATGAAATATCACTGAGATTTCTTCTTTGTTTTTCCATCACATATCTTTGTGGAACTGAATTTTCTGCCATGACTGTGCTTAAAACGAAACAGAGGAACTGCCTGCAACTTTCTGACTGTCTCCGTTTGGCTCTCACTTCAATTCATCGCAGAATTAATAAGCTAACGGACGGAAAACAGAAACAGAAGTCTCACTAGCCTAACTAAAACCTTCCAAACTCAGTTGTGATAAAAGAAACTAAGTTTAACTTTCCAATAACTTATAATCGCTGTGTTAAAGTACTGCGTCTTTAAAATAAAAATATTAATTACTGTTAGAAGTAGTGTTTAGAATTGAGAGATTCAGACATTTTTATTTATCAAATTACATACTTTACATATATAATTATTTGGCGTGTGTATGTGATAATAAGTGTTTCGCCGGCAAGTTGACATCCTTCTGCTTCTTCCCCTACTCAGCCGACTTCTATGTTGAGTTACAATGCATAAATATTTTTCTCACTGCCGTTTTTTCAAACCAACATTATTAAAATCAATTTAATAATACAATAATGAATTTTACGCTGAATAACATAAGTTTTTGATGATCAGCATGGGATATGTCAATGAAAATTAGCACAAATTAATTTAATGATGTTGGTCTGAGGAAACTACAAAATGCTACAGTCCAGTGACTGATAACTAATTTAAATGTAATTTTATGTTTGTCAACATGCAACACCGTATACATAAGTGTACTAATACTCTTTATGATTATGCTATAATTAATTACTATTATTACGTTAGCTTAATGCATGAACTTTAACAAAACTGGAAAGGTATTTACGAGTAAATTTGTTGGGACTGGGCCATCGTCTTATAAAAAAAGAACTAACTGGGCCGCGGTCTCATAAAGGTTGAGAACCACTGGTGTACAGGGCATTTGCTATATACGCGTAGATACGGATGTTTGAATCTTTGCTGATACTCTCCTTTCAGTGTCCCTTTCTGTGGCAAAAAATTCATGAAATTACAATTATTTCGTGAAACTAATTCTGATTCATCAAATTAATCTTAGATTAGAATATTCTGGGTCACATTTCTCAAGTCCCAGAAGTGGAGTAGCAGTCATTAATATTAAAAATTTTTCCGTTAAATACGTTAACCTCTTTTTTTCTTATTATTTTCCTTCTTTACTATAAAAATCTTCTCCAACAATGTCTCTTCTCTCCAACCGAATGAGTGTAACAAACAAACAAGAACAACCTGGATGTATGCATCTATCGTGGAATAATTGGTCCTGTTACAAAGGTCACTGCAATTTCTAAATCGAAATTATTACTGAATACCAAGAACCAGTAAGAACCCTGAGCGCTGTTACGGAACACAATGGTTCCTTCGCTAATGTTACTTCAGCTGCGGCACACAACGCGCTGCTTATAATAGTCATGATTTTGCATTATGCAGGTATTCGCCTGGTCTTGAATCAGGCAGTTTGCTAATGCCACGTGCTTTTGTGCATATCACTAGTAAAGAGACAAATGCAGCCTAACATTCGCTGTACACACAGCAAGGTGTCGCCCACCTTGCGCTACTTGCAAACCGCAAACGGCCTGATTCGTGGCGCATGTAACAAGAATTAGTCGGAAAGGCGACAACCAGGAGAAGGATAATGAGAAGAGGAATGAGGAAGAAGAGAGTAAAAGGAGACGACAAGGGACAATAAAGGGGAAGGACTCGACGAGCACAAGGAGAGAAAATTGAACAAGGATAATAAGAAAACATATTGAAAAGGAGGAATAACAAGAATTTTCCAGAGGTTACACAGAAACTGACGAGATTGGAAGATGATTATTAATGGTGAATATGTAAGAACTTGAAAGAAGCGATACGGCACGAAAAATGTTCCGCCCGACCAGGTAGCGTATCTTCCTTACATACGTAATCATCTCTCTCAGCGCTACACAAACACAGGTGAAACGGTGGCGCTAAATGAGCAAAGGATCATCCAATCCTGACGTGACTGTTAGGCATCCGTATACTTAATCCTGGGCACAATTTGACTGCGATGACAATGAAGGTACCTGTTGCTCCCATCTCCCGTACAGTCGCGCCTCAAAAAATAGGCGTGAAATGCTAAGATCAGTAAAGGTCGTACTTGTCAGCCTGTAAGTATCTATCTGTGAAGAGGAGTCAGGGTCATTAAATTGTTAACAGATAAAGCACTTGAGTCAATCAAAAGAATGGTACATGTTTACACAATTTATAATTTGCTCACTTGCCCAAAAAAATTCCGCTCCAGTGCTAACCAACAGTTCATTACAGTGCACACAAGAGTCTGCCACTGCATGCTATCCTGAACTAGTTGAATCCACTCCACAACCTCATAAAACTATTTTTGGTAAATCCTATTCTTCAGATAAATTTTAACTGATCCTCCCATTTATGCCCGAGTAATCTATTCCCTTCAGGTTTTCAGAATGGAATTTTGTATGCATTTCTCATCACCCTCGTGAGTGTTGTATGCCGGCTAACCTCCTCCTTGGCTTGATATTTGGTGAAAAATAAAAAGTACAAAGATTACCATCATGTAATTTTCTCAAAGCTGAAGTTAAAGCTATAACTGATATCTTCACTAACTGGGGAGACACCTTCATTAAAACGCGACTGCTGCGTGCCGTGTTCCTGATTTCAATCTAACTGCCAAGTGCTTGTAAAATAGTCTGAAAACACTTTTTTAACACAGGAGGGAAGAAAGTTGTGTGGGAAAAGTTACTCTTTCGCTAGGCCTCTCCCCACTTTCATGCCGAAAGCTGTCGAGCGCCAACTTCGAACATCATTGTAACATTGAGCAGTCAGGAACACGCTTGACAATTACTATTCGCTGTAACGACCCAAACACTGATCTTACATGATTATAATTTCGAACAATAACTAATAGTAAGAAACTCTATTTAGGTGTAGTTGTCTCTAAGTTTCTTGCGTGAAATGAAACTGCAATGGCGTAAGTATATTCATAAGAACGGTTGGCGCCATTTCCTTCCACACAGAAAGTCTTCCGAAGAATACATGATTGCCAAATCCTACATTATAACTAAAACAAGTCAAGTCCGGCAGGGTGCCACAGTCAGGTTCGCAAGTCCATACAAGAACCCACATAACCTTGCCTGACAAGTTATGGCACTCTGTCCAACTAGGACCAAACCACATCTATGTTTCTTTAATGAGATACTCACTGTATTTAAATTATTTAAGCGAATACACTCTTTCTCCTGAATAATCCTCAGCGATTTCCTTCCTCTTTTGAAACACTTGTCACCCACAAGCACGAGCACTGACACCAAACACACCCACACACATCTGCCCGGCCAGATACACAGTGCCGCTCCAAACACACCTTCCGTCCCCACCAACCTACTGACGAACACAGGAGTAAAACTGCTGGCTCTGTGGGTTGTCACTCAGCTACTCAACAGCTGAGGCCAGCGATCTCACTGCAATCTGCTGTCATTATTGAACACTAACTTCAATTCTTCAGGCTGAAACCACTGCCATCTGTCGAGCTTATAATGCATAATATCTTAAATGTCACCTTAATTCTTTTGTTTACACAAAAGGTCAATGGCACATGGAACACTGTTAAACTAGTTTCACTTCTTCCTAGACGTCAAGTATTCGACACCCATTCGCATCTAAACAACAAACAAAAACTAAACCTTTTTGGTATCTAATTTATTAATACCGTAAGTTCTTTTAGACTACAACCTGTTGCATGCGTAAGCGATGCTCGGTTCGAATCTGGTCCGGATCATGACTGAGATACTGGTAGTTTTCCTCAGTCCCTTTAGGCAAATTCTGGGATAGTACCTCGTTTCGACCACAACCGTTTCCTCTCACAAGCCTTCCAATTCAGCAGGCATCCTGCCATGGGACGCCATATACTGGTAGTCTCGATTCCAAGAGCGTCGTTAAATGATACACACATATGTGTGCTCTACAGACATGAAGATACACGCATACATCCACACATGCGTACATAAGGTAAGGTAAAGGTGTCCCTATGCTCAGCGAATTAAGCACTAAACCATGAAGGCGTATGGGGGAGTGGATTTATAGAGCCACATTTTCTTGACGTCCGAACGACATGAAGAAGTGAAAATTCTTGCCCACACCGGGACACGAACTCCGACCCCTCTGTCGTCCAGCCCGTAGCCAGTCGCTATACCGACTTCACTATCTTGACTCCTGTATTTCATACTTACATATTTCACCGAGTCAAGAAATTCGTCGCCTTTTATGGAAGTCGAAGATTCATTACCATATTCATATGAGGCAGCCACTGGTCCCTATCCCGTGTCAAATGAACCCAGTTCACATGCTCCCACCCAATTTCCTTAACTAAAACCTATTTAATATTACTGTCCGATCTGTGTCTAGGTCTTCCAAGTGGTCTCTTTCCTTGGGGTTCTCCGACCACAATTTTGTGTGGACTTCTCTTTTATCCTGTGTGTGCTACACGGCTCGCTCATCTCATCCGCCTCCATACTTCTGAATAGAAAGAAAACACAACAAAGTACGCTGACCTACATATATTTATAGTTATGTGTCAGGTGTTTCTCAGGATTCGGCGGAAAATAATGTGTCAGGTGTTACAATTGTTCTGTCTCGCGAGAGATCTCTGGGATCAATAAGTAACTGAGATGCTTTACTGTCACAAAGGTGGCTGGTATATGACACCGTGTAGTCTGGCATATGGCTATTGACTTTTTCGAGGGATGTTCTACTTTCGTCTTCAGGGTAGAAGGGCGGAAATGAACCCACTCGGGTTCACACTGATGGACAAGCTTTAACGTCTTGAGGAACAGTGGCGTATCTAAACATTTTCTTTCCTCTGAAATGTTCGAGCGTGAAGCGTGTATTTCCTGTTTATTTAGTGGCACTTCCTATATAGCAGCTTATATAGCGTCCAACGATAGGATGACTGGTAAATTATGAATTGGAAAGTATCTGGAAGGAAACGCTTGTGACCTATTCTTGGATACTCTACCGGTTATTGCATGGAAACTGAGGAAAGCCAAGAAAAATTTTAGTCAAAATATCCGGATTCTGGGCTGGGATTAGAACCCGGGACCTCGTGGATTGCTCGCCACTTGAGCGACAGGTTAGGTCAATAAGGCGTCTGTGGGGTTTCTGTCAGTCCACGGCAGATTATGTCCGAGAGTCACGAAAAGTCTACATAAATATTTGTCGGTTATATCTCGCAATGTCTGTTTAAGTGAAATGGTATTTTCCTGCTGTTGCCTGATTGACTGTTCCTTCTTTTCCCTCGAGATGATGAATTTCTCCGGAAGACAGATCTCGTTGCACAACTTGTTGTAGTCTGGGAGTAAATAAATATATTTACTTTGGCGCCCAAATGGAACGCATATGAGTTAAATGCGGAATGGAGTGCCTCATTAAAATAAGTAGCACCCCTAAATAAAAGGTAACATTTTTTTTCCTTGGCACTACAGACCCAGTGGGCCTAGGCCTACCTCCATGTACTCCGTTCACTTCGGTTTTTCTAGATCATACACATTCGGTAGGACTCCTTGGGCGGGTGATCAGCTGTACACAAACACAGAAAAACGTATACACACAAAGTAAACATCCATGCCCTGAGTGGGATTCGAATCCACGATCCCGGTTTCCAAGCGAGCGAAGACAGTACATGCCTTAGACCGCTCGGCTACCGTGACCGGCTAAGGGTAACATTACCCTTATAAATAAGTAACTGTTCGCTGTTTATAATAATTCTTCCATATTATTCCGCGCTAAACAGCCTCTGCAGCTGAAGTAGTGTCTTTAAATTACCAAACCAGCCGGGTTGCATTTAGGAAACAAGACAACGCCGGTGTATCGTCTTGTTGGCAGGGCGGTGAAGGGGAGGTGTCGAGGCTATGGGGATGGTACGTACTTGTAGGGTTTTATCCTTCTCAAAGGAAATGACTCGCGATGTGGCAACATAGGAATTCCATGCAGGTGAATCCTGTTTCCTAACGACGGGATGGGGTCAGTGTCAGGGGTCAGGCCTCAGTTAGCTGTCATGCCACATCGTATCAAGCAACGGAAGCCACAAAATTTTGGTACTGAAACGGGCTCCCGATTGTACAGATAACTGAACAGAACAGTGGCCAATTATTCCATTAAAAAGTACTGAAACCATGCTTCATCTGTTTCTGATAATTGCGTCCTCGCCTTTCTTTGTAACTCGTTCAGTATTCACCCATTAAAAACCTTTCGAAATTAAAGTTTAAAACCGTAGTGAGATGTATATTTTATGTCGTGTACCAGTTTTATGCACAACTTCGAAAATGTGAACTTGAGGTAACTGGTATAATTCGGTTTGATCTTCAAGTGAAGGCAGACAAATAATAATATTGAAGGCCAATATAGAATTTTACCCGAAATCTGTTGACTTCATTTACTTACTTACTCATGGAGCTGAGCCCTTCTGGAGGAGCCGCCAATTCTGCAGCTACTCAAGAATTTTCCAGCATTTTATGGAACCCGAAGGTTCATTACCGTGTTCACAAGAGCATTCCACTGGTCCCTATCCTGAGCCAGATCTATCCAATCCATACCATCCCATTCTATCTCTCTAAGATCCATTCTAATACTGTCCACCCACCTACACCTTGGTCGTCCCTGTGGTCTCTTTTCTTCTGGCTTTCCCACCAATATCCTATATGCATTCCTCTTCTCCGCCATTTTTGCTACATGACCTGCCCACCTCATCCTACTTGACGTCATCATTCTAATTATACTTGGAGAAGAGTACAAGCTATGAAGTTCCTCATTACGCAGTTTTCTCCAACCTCCTGTCAATTCATCCCTCTTCGGTCCAAATATTCTCCTCAACACCCTGTTCTCAAACACCCTCAGTCTATGTTCCTCCCTTAATGTCAGAGACCAAGTTTCACACCTATACAGAACCAGAGACAAAATTATTGTTTTGTATATTCTGATTTTTATGTTTTTGGACATCAGACGAGAAGACAAATGTTTCTGGACTGAATAATAGCAAGCATTACCCGAGTTAAATCGCCCCTTAATTTCCTCCTGAATCAGGTTTCGATCTGTTATCGTTGTTCCCAAATATCTGAACTATGCCACATTTTCAAAACATCTGTTTCCTATCTTTATGTCATGATTTTGCCCTGCATTTTGGTGACGAGACAGTAACATATACTTAATTTTCTGTGTGTTTACTTCTAGACCAACTTCTTTACTTACATCAATTAAAGTTTGTGTGTTTTTCTTTATGGTATCTACATTATCACCCAGTAGATTCACATCATCGGCATGGACCAGCAGCTGATGTGTCCCATTTAATTTCAGTTCCACCTGGTTTCCCTAGGCCTTCCTAATTGTATATTCTAAAGCAAAGTTGAAAAGCAGTGGCAATAAATCATCTCCTTGTTTCAGACCATTCTGGATAGGAAATTTATCAGACAAATATTTACTTACACAGACTTTACTATACGTTTCGTTTAAACACATTTTAATCAACCTAACTTGTTCCATGGGTATCCTAAACTCTATTAGAATATTGTACAATACTTCCCTCCTAACTGAATCATAAGCTTTCTTGAAGTCTATGGATAGCTGATGTACCGTCTCATTGTACTCCCATTTTTTGTCCAATATCTGACGAATGCAAAAGATCTGATCTGTAGTTGATCTGTTATGTCGAAACCCACACTGATGATCCCCAATAATTTCATCTATATATGGACTTAACCTTGAAAGAAGAATATTGCAAAAAATTTTGTATGAAGTTGATAGCAGTGATCCCCTACCTCCACAA